TACTAAGACTGATAGAAGCAATTTGCATAGTTATATATTAGCATTTGACATTACTACGAATAGAAATACTAATATAGCTACTCATTTAATAAATAGCATTACCTATATTATTCAAAATGGATATATTCATGCCCCCAATATTTTTGGCCATAGGAATCCTATAGATTATAGTATTCATATTAAGATTTCGAATATAATAGATATTAATAGTGCTATCAAAATTTTCATACTGATAATGCTGATATTAAAAATACTATAGAAATTCTTAATACCGTTCATATTTGACATAATATTAACACTAATAGTACTAGTAATTATAGGAGCTTAATGGCGATACGCATGCTCGTATTAATCAGATTTCATATATAAAAAAATCTATTAGTACTTCTATTCATATTTGATATTAACATTATTGATATCAATCTTAATAATAATATGAGTATCAATATGCATATTGGAATTCATATTCATACTATTACTAATTCTCATATTCATCTTGATTTCGGTCATGATCATACTTGTACGAAGACGAGTATTAATAATACTGCTATTGCCAATATTCATACTAGTACTGGAGATCTTTCCCTTTCGTATCGGCCCATGATTTAAGCAATTTTTAATCCAAAAGGTAGTTCTTGGGGGAGGGGGGGGGGAACGAATATTTCTATTAATATTTCAATGAATTGAAGCGATTATTTACGAATATGAAATTATATAAAGATTTTTTTCTGATTCTATTCTAAAATCTTTCTGATATATATCCTAGAAATTTTAATGAGCATTTAAATCTTTTCGGAGAAATTAGTAGAAGAGATTTTTAATTAAGAAAATAGAAATGAAAGATCTCAGATATCTTCAAAATCTACGACCTCCTTTCTTATCTCCGTTCCTCCTCTCTCCATATCATTTATTTATCTCTATTTAATTATATAGCAATTCGAATATTATCATAGAATTTTTCAGTCTTTGAGGATTATTAAATTTTCATAAAAAGATATAATCGATCTAAATTAACGAGCATTTGTCGGACAAATAAATTTTCATGAATTCTTTCTTCGGAGATTAAATTAGATATCAAATGAAATATATTTCAGTTTTTCATATCATATTCATATTTGATCATTATTTTCTATAATCAATAGAATATCGATCTCATAATCTCTCCGTATTTCGATCTCTCATCCTCTAGATCTATCTAGCGATAATATATCTATTTGAGCTTTCAATTTATGAATATTTAATTTCTATCGAATATCTTAATCTATATATAATTAGTTTTTGATATTTATCGATTGATCTATATATTTATCTATCTATTCATATGATTCATTATCTTTGAAATTATCAATCTAAAAATCAAATAGGTTAATCTAAAAAATACGATTATATTTTATATAATATCATTATTATCATTTCCTATCTATCCTATTTTCCAATATTATTTCATTCCTTTCTATTATTAAATGAATTCCTAAATTTATCTAGTAGACGAATCAATATATCTCAATATTACGGCGCGGCCGCTTGCGGTCATTTCGCTCGCGCGCGGCCTTGATTTTCCGACTCATCTTTAGGCTCTAAAATCTCCGAGATTTTTGATGCGGATGACGATTTTTGGTCGCACGACCCTTGCCTCCGGAGCGGTTTTCCGTATGAATTCTCTCTTTTTGATTATCTGCGCGATTGATCGACGGAACGCATAGATACGAGACGGAGAATCAATATCTTTTCAGATTTTTCAGATTGGCCGTACTATCTATGGGGATTTATACGCTTCCCCGAGCAGGAATCCCAAGAAAGATAAATGAGGCGGCAAGGTCGGGCTGGATGGGGGAGAATTACGGTCCGAAATCTGCCGAGATTTCGAATCATTTCTATCTCTTCAGCTATCTGCGGCTCGGTATTGTCCCGGACCGGGGATCTATCATCTTTCGGAGTCTATTAGGTTGGCTCTTTTGGGCCACGTGCGGTCTTATATATTTATTGCTCGTCGAAATTCACGTGCGAGCTTATATATTCCGCGTGAATATTTCTCTTTGATTATCGACGCGATTGTTCGGAGGAGCGCGTAAAACGCATACGGAGAATTAAAACCTTTTAGAATTTATAGATTGAACGTATTTATTCATAGAATTTTATGCGCACTCCCGAGTCGCCACAAAGATAGTCCAAGAGAGATAAGTGAGTCGGAAAATTCGTATTGGATGCGGAGGTCGCGCGATCAAAAATCTTCGTAATCTAAAATCATTTCTCTCTCATTGCTTATCTACACGATTCTAGAATGGGAAGATCTAGGATTAAGACCTAACAATTTTCAGAATCTAGAATATATCATATTCGAGCTTATAATCTTTATTCATAGGATTTCATTTATAATCTCATCTATTATTTATTCATCGGATTTCTCATTATAAGATATTTCTAATAAAGATTTTCCTTTGTACGGCCTTACAAGCGGTCAAGACTTGCATTCTTTTTGATAAGATAAATAAGAAATAATAATAATATTATAAGAATATGTATAATCATATATTTTAAGTTATTAATCTATTTAATTTTTAGATAGATATTTTTTAAATATAATTAATCATACGAATCGATCGTTCGACGGAACATATCCCTCGGAGGCTCATAGAAATCAATAGAAAAAAGAGATGCTCCCGATTTCAGATCCCCAAATCATATATTCAAATCCGCCCCATGCAACGATTGCGATCTACATTGAGGATCGTCCTAGCTATCGATAATTATAAAGCCGAATCGAAATAAATTCGAAGAAAGAATCAATCAAAAAATAATCCCAAAAATAAAAATCTCATTTTCATGGAGAGTCCGTGCATCTCTACATAAGATAATAATTTATATTTATTCGATAAAACTAATATATAAATCAATAATGCCTATCAAAAAAAATATATATAATAACATTATATTCAAATTCCTTAATTAGACCGATACCAATAATAATAAGAAAATATTATTAGAAATTCCTCATAATTAAGAAACTAATAACCAAATAATCTCTCAAATTGCCGGGGAAGTCCGATAAATCAATATTATAAAGTCGATTATGATATATTATAAATGTATTATAAAAACGATTATATTATATTATAAATTCTGAAAATTTTTAAATCTAAATCTTCACGCTCCAATATCGTACAAACAAGCAATGAAATACAGATGCAACCAGTCTCTAAATTCTAAAGATTTTGGTTCCCTATCCCCGTACTACACGTTTCTCCGAATACGATAATCAAATAGAAATAAATCCACCCAGATTTCGACGAATAATAAACATATAAGACCGCACGTGGCCAAAAACAGCCAATCTAACAGATTCCGAAAGATTTTAGATCCCCGCGCCGGGTCTATACCGAGCCGCCGCGCACATAGCCAAAGAGAGAGATCTCGGCAGGTTTCGGGCCGTGTTTCTCCCCCATCCAGCCTGACCTTTCCGCCTCATTTATATTTCTTGGGGTTCCTGCTCGGGGAAGCGCATAAATCCCCGTAGACAGTACGGCCAATCTGAAAAATATTAAAAGATTTTGGTTCTCCGTCCCGGGTCTATAAGCTCCGCCGAGCAATCGCGCAGAGAGTCAAAAAGAGATAACTCATACGGAAAACCGCTCCGGAGGCAAGGGCCGCGCGACCAAAATCTCCGAGATTTTTGGTCGTGCCGCCCGAACCAATAATCGCCTCTAGCTTTTCCGACGGGCTCTAAAATCTCCGAGATTTTAGAGCCCCTAGGGAGCCCGCATGAGGCATTTTAAAGGTGAGCCGGAAAACCTAGGCCGCGCGCGAGCGAAATGACCGCAAATGGCCGCGCCGTAATATTGAGGTACATGAATCTTAAAAAATAAGTCTATCATTCAAAAGGCAATATTTCCTCGCTAAAGCACAAGGCACCAAATCGACTTGTTGGGGAGGGTTAAATTTGGGATGCTTCTCAGGCGTACCCCGCAATCAAATCGATTCCGGTGCCTCTACGAATGCGGGTACGCCTCTTAAGTCGACCCCCCCCTTTTAAAACCTACCTTCCTCTGCAGAAGTGCCTGCCGTCGGTTGGTTCCGAGAGGTGGCTTGGACCATAGCCACGCATCCATGAACGGTTCTAATTTGCTGGTGCCATGGTGGCAATGCGTTCTGAACCTCCGAACGCCTTTTGGCGGCTCGTCGGCTTAACTCAGGTACATTCATGTACAATTTGAACGTCAATGGGCCTCGAGCGCACCACCAAGAATTGCTTTCACGGCAGGACCCCTAACCAAGTGTCGCTTCGCTTCAGAAGAGCTGGAGCCGATGAATATCAACGCTTCAGGTGCGGCGCTGCGCTGGGATGCCGAATGCCCCAAACCCCAAACCGGAAGCATCCTTACATCATTCTTAACATGCGCCAGTGACACAGGTGCTCTGCTCAAGCGCTCTTACTGCTTAGCATTCATTCTAGGTAAGTACTGCTTAGCAAGAACTAGGCAGCAGTGCTGACGCATCAACCTGTCCGTTCTGATGACTCATCGACGATGACCTAGAAGAAATCCGAGACCAATTGCCAAATACTCGACCCGTCTCCTTGCAAGAAGCAAGCGCATTGGTTTAAACCATCAGGGTCTTAGTGGCTCAGACTGTTGCAAAAACTGAAGGCATCGGAATGCTGGGGGCAAAGCCGTCTCTCACAAGGTTTGACAGGAAGGGCAAAGAAGGCCCCAGCGCAGCAAGATCAAGGTTCGCCCTAGAGTTAAGGAATCAATCCCTGCAGCACATCCTGTACAATAGTTGTACATGGGCTCTCTGCACAGCCACAGCATTCGGAGAACTGTGGATTTGAGACGACCCGGCTCGTTGGTGGCTGCAGCTTTGAACTTTCAACAATGCAACCCCCTAATCATGAATGCCCCCGAATATCGCAGTACTGTGTACTAGCAGGGGGAACGGTTGTTGTTAGGCGGGGATCGCCTTCCCTCCCGGGAAGCACTTACAGCCTGCTGGAAATTTGCCGCTCATGCGCATTTGTCCAGAAAGTCGGCGTAGGAACACTCCATCGACTTGATCTTCATGGAGCCGTGAGGTGCAAAGCCCTGCCTGGGCCAAATAAGTCAGCGACCCTGAAGCTTGAACGTCAACCGCTAAACCAATCAAGCCATGACAACTTCTATGCAAACACCCAGTGTATGCAGAGAGCAATGGTACTGCTGGGTGGCTATGCTCGCACTTCGTGGGAACCCCTCCGCATCGAGAGACAGCCGACGTCACAATTTTTTCCACTTATGCTGCATATTGCCGGGAGTCGGAAGGACATGGGGCTTTATTGAAGGAGGGCCTTGGGTTGACATTGGCGCAAACTTATGTCCATCCATCATTTTTGTCACCTTTAGCCCCTACAGTAGTTGCGGCAGCTCGCGTCTGGGGAGTATGTAGCAGAGAGCCTAGAGGCCTAGAGCCCCGAACCACGACCCGTAGGTCTGCCCAACGAGAAAGGATTGCTGTTGTGACTGCTCGGCCTTGTGATCTCATGCTAGGCAAGTGGCAAGCTGAATCGTCTGCCTTTTGCACCAGGGCAATTGATGTAAACGCTCCAGGGTCCTCGAGGCTCGCATGTGACAATGGAACATAACATCCCGTCCCTAGTAACTGTAAGAATGACAATGCAAGCTGCCCAACAATCATTTACAGTGCTACAAAGGAAAGATCATTCACAGGTCTACAAAGGATGAGCAGCGCGAGTGAAGGCTCAAGACTAACCTTTAGGCTTGGAGCTTCGAAGAAATTGGCGACGGCTTAATGGGTTAGGCGTCTTTGACTTGCTTTTGCCAAAAGAAGTCTCCTCTGATCGGAAATGCGCCACATCACCCTTGTAGCATGCTTTGGCTAAATGCTGCCAGCCCTTCTGGGCTTGAGCTGGATCATCAATGACGATACCAGCTCAGAAGGAGCCACAATTTTAGAATGAGAATGATTTTAGAATGTAATTGCAAGTCAGTTGAGTTGGTGAGCCACCTGCATCCGCCAACTCCCAACAAAACTTCACTGACTTCACTGGGGGTCTCCACTACCAAGCGACGACAACTCGGGGAGAAGCTCCACTTCATGCAAGTTTCCTACTGCATGTTTCTCAAGTCAGTACCCCGTGGTCACCACAGCCAGGGCGACACAAAAAAGTCGAGGTGGCAGCAGCTCTTGTAGTTGCGGTTGCAGGTGTTGCTGCTGATGAGGCAGCAGGAGCCGTCGTGGTCGTAGCAATGGTGCTGAAGTGGTTTCTGCTGTTTTTGCCACTTGCATGGCTGGGGTGCTGTCGCTTTTTAGTGATCATAGTCACCGCTATTGCTGTAACCGAGGCCAGCTTTGCAACAGCAGCTGCAACTGTCGAGGCAAAAGCAGCAGCGCAAGAACCTCCGATCGCACTAGTACTGGTCCCAGCGATAGCAGGAACCTGAGAAAGGCTAATGCGCCACGTCACAATCAGTGAAGAGCGAAATAGCCGATCAGGAACCCAATGCTATGAGGTGCAGCACCATCGCTACCACAATGAAGCAAAGTTCCTACAAACCACAAACAATCACTGGCCCGCCTTCTGACTTGGTCAAGTACGTCCACACATGTCGTGATAGGATCCGAGACTTTGCCACCCTTTTGCCCTCTCCATTGAAGATGAACCTTGGTCTTGCGGGCCGGTGGAGTTTGGCCGAGCCGGGAATCATAATCGTAGCATCGAATGTGAGGAGGAATACAACATCTTTGCTGCTTAGCAGGCTCCATGTAAGACTCTGAAACCCAATTTGAATTTCACATGTTTGCATAAGGACCCACGCTGCCACATCGCATGTCCCGAGATGTCCGGAGTGCATCCAAGTGACCAGTACCCTGGGGGATACTTTTGGTCCTTGTAGTTCATGCCATCTTCTTTGCCTGAGTCACCAAAGAGACCCAACACCAGCTTGAGCATTTGCTCAGACCCCATGTCCCTGCCTGCTAGGTCCAAAACAGTTACACAGTGTAATTTAAGGTAATTTCAATTCCCAATTTAAGGCCAGTTTGGCATTACTCTCTACATAAACCACCATTTAGGGTGAGGTCGGGTGAGGTTGCTGTAAAATTGTCCAGTTACAATAATGAATATGGTAGCACACCTAGTAATGGCACTATTGTGTAATAATACTAATTATGGATACTGCTGCTGTGGTATCAGAAACGGTCCCTACCCTCTTCCAGCCCATCTGGAACGACGGCCCTGCCAGGCTTCCCCGATTTGTTAAACTGGAAAACGTAAGATAAGGTTGCCATTAAAGCATATATGCGCGGAGAATGCTAGGTAGTAATTACCCTCCGAGCGTGCCCGCCTCGTGTGCATCTGCATACGAAGCAATTTTTATTGCAATTGTGTGATGAGAACGTCCTTTGCAACTGGATCCAGTTGTTGAAGGAACCAATGGCTGTGCCAGCAATTCTTTCCAGCGCATCCGTTTTCCTTTGTCTCATTCATGCGCCAACTCGCTGATGATGACCGTGTGCACTGCAACTGCATTCACCTCACGTCACATCCACGTCAGCTCGATGATACCGGTGATTTCCAGCACATCAGCTGATCAACCAATGCGATGTTGACTAAGGGCCACATGCGGCCTGGAAGGGGCTTGTAGCAGAAGTCGTCGTGATAGTTACAGTATCTGACAGCAGCAGCAGAAGCAGCAGCTCCAGCAAAAGCAGCAAGAGGAGGTGTTGTGTAGTTGTCGCCGTCGCCGGTGCAAACTACGAAAAATCCGAAGCAGCAGAAGAAGAAGGAAGCAGTGCTGATCAAACTGGCAGCAAAAGCAGAACGACGGGATCGAGAATGAGTTTCTGGAAGGTGGAGCGTTGCGGGGCTTCATTCTTGCAGTGGTTTTCGATGCTTTAAGATTGTAAAAATATTTCTAGCTAAGGCAAGCAAGTTGAAAATGCATCGCAAAGCATAAAAATGCATCGCAGAAAATGCATCGCACAGGCATGCATCACAGAAAATGCATCACAGAAAATGCATCGCACAAGAATGCATCGCAGAAAATGCATCGCAGAACATGCATCGCACAAGAATGCATCGCAGACAATGCATCGCAGAGAACGCAGCAGGCAGCTTAAAATCAAGAACGCGCAGGCGAAAGCGAGGGGCCCTGAGCACTGCAGGCAACATGCATGAAAGGTCAGCTTTGAATGAGTCAACACCAAAAACTCTGCCATCCCTATACCTTGGGTACTACTACTATTAACTACTAGGGCATGCTGACCATGACGTACCTCCATTCCCTCGAGCGAAGGAATGATGACTTTCCCTGGCACCTTTGAAACAAAGAGTGGAAAGGATTCTTCCGCCAGATGGGAAAAAACAACGGGGAATACTCTGTGTGGCTTCCGCAAGGCGTGTGTGGAGAGGACTCTCCAACATTTGTTCCAAAGAGAGACCGGTAGCGGACGCGGACTAGCGTGGACAATCCGGCACCTTTTCCAAAGGAACATTGGAGAGGACTTTCTTGTACTCTTTCCGGAGAAAGAGTGGGAGGATCCTCCTTAGCTCCGTCAAAGCATGCAGAATGCTGTCAAGTTTCCCGTCTTCCTTAAGCAGCCCAAACGGTAGAATGGCAGACGGTGACGGCACGTGATTTCATGGTAGAAATCAAAGAAAAATCAAACATGTGCAAAAAATGGGGTAAGCAAAACGAATTGATGCAATAGTACTATTACTAGCAGTCCCGATAATGGTCCAATGGTAGTAGTATGTAGTAGTAATGAAAAATCGCAGTACTAAGAGATAAGTAAGAAGCGACAAGTCATAAGTAATCGGTAACACGATAGATCAACGTCTTTGATTTGGGTGAGAGCCTTAATAACCGGAACACTAGCAGTGGTGGCGGCTGTCGTAGTAGGAGGAGTAGTAGTAGCTGTAGTAATCTAGTAGCGGTCGCAAAAGGAGGTTGTTGCTACAGAATTCTTGGGTGATACTGACAAGTAAATGGGAAATTGCAAGGCAACAACTACGAAGATGGTAATAGTGAGATTCAGTCTGACCAAGGGCTGGCTGCTTTGCAAATGTTGGGATTCTGGAGGATTGACCGTTGCCATTGGCAGTTGTGGGTTTCCTGAGAAAATCAGATAGATGCCGCAAGGGCTCTCACTCAGACAAGGAATTTCAAAAGCAGCTTAAAACGAGCGAAAGGAATTTGTAGCGAAGCTTGATATTATCATGGCGATGAATCACGCACTGCACATCTCCCCAGCACCTTACTTAGGCACGTTCTTGTGGATCACAAAGGTCTATTTACCGGGGACCCTGTAACCCTGAAGGCAAAGTATAGCTAGTTAGGAACTGTAAATTTGCCGGTGGTTTTATTGCGGGCAACCACTTGAACCCTGAGCTTCACCTAAAACCCTTTTCCGGTCCAACGTAGCTGTAGCTCTGTCACGTCCCCTGAGCCAAAATGGCGACGCTTAAGTCGTGGGTCGTTGCATTGCGCTGCGCCCATCGGCTCACAGAGTTGGTGCGCCCGGCTGCCACAAGTAGAAAGGAACAAAGCCAAGTAGCCTAAACTGCGCTTCGGGCTTGGGGCGCATATATTTTCAAGTCCCCCGTTTTAGGTTAGCTAGGTCTGGGTTATAGGCTACTACGGCTTCTGTTCGGAACCATCCCCTATGTAGCAGATTACGTAGATCGGTACGAACGTGTAACATGTCAAGTGCAGCTCCCGACTTTTGTGGTGGAGGCTCTTTTGTGGACACGTCTGCTGTTTGTAGATTCGTATCAGCGTACTCCATCTCGCACGATTCATTCTCGTCGAACAGGTCTGACAACGCGGGAACGCACAGCCGCGAGTTTAGGAGGCAACCCTTTGCGGGCAATGGTCATTGTGGCCTGGTTATCCTCCTTAATCAGCTCGCATAGTGACCCATCGGCCCAACAGCTTTTCCGACAAGTGCAACGTACACAAGCCTTCCATGAACATGTTGCGGGCTAGGCAAACTACCTCGTCTTCGGTAGTAGACTTAGACACAATCATCTGCCTCTTGCTATAACGCATGACAACAGGAAATAGGTGCGAGGCCCGGTTAGTAGAGTACCAAGTGTCCACCATTGGTGGACTTGGCTGTATCCCGACAGCCGGCAAAGTCAGCGTCTGCAAGCAGCGTCAGTTCGACCTCGAGTGTCTGTTGGATCGTTGATAATTCCGATAATTGCTTGTCCAGGTTGTTGGACCAGTCCCACACCTTCGTCGCCAAATATCCGATCGAGCATTTTAGGTCCTGCCTGGCCAAATGACCGAGTCAGAGTGCTGTCGTGAGCACCTTGCGTGCGGAAGCTTGGAGCTCCCTCGGACGTCATCGTCCGCTGCTACAGGGCTCCCCTCAGCCAGAAACGGATTGCCTGCAGGCTTCAGGTTCTTGTGCCCGGAAGCCCGGCGATTGCCTCATACCCGTCAACAACAACACCAACACCACCACCAGCAACAGCAGCAACAACAACAACAACCACACCCCAAACACACCCAACACCCACAAGCCACAACCGCAACAGCAACAACACGGCAACCAGCTCCAGCAGCACCACCAACAACAACAACAGCCGTGCACAACCACAACGACAACCACATCGAAAACGACCACGACCACCACGACCACGACCCCCACCACCACCACCACCACCACCACCACCACCACCACCACCACCACCACCACCACCACAACCACAACAGTAACAGGACCAGTTATAGAGACCAACCGTTTGTCAGGCATACTTAGCTATGTGAAAGCAGAGTGCATTTTCGCTGGACCCTTTGGCGGGATTCACTTCATTCTGCTTTGAGATTCCTGTGATTACGTGGCACCGTTCAAGGACACGGTACACGGGTTCTGGTAAACCAGACGCATAAAACTTGTTGCGCCGCCAGGCCGGCCTCAATTCAGGAAGTAGTTCAACCCACGTCTTACACTCGTTTTTTGAGCACGGGTTGCACATAGGCCTTTGCAGCAATTGCTTGTGACCTGGCAAGCCCCTAGGGAGGCACAGAGTTCCTAGTAGACGGCCGCTGCTCCGAACTCGTCTTTGGCGGAATCTCCGCGGAACTCTATCGTACCCTTGAGCTTGTGTAAGTGTTCTGCTAGCTCCCAAAATTTGATTGACGCTATCGTCGTTAAGACAACTGAAATGGAGTTTTACGCCCGTTCGGCGAGCCTTTTTCGGCCACATCGCCACTCTGACCATCTCTGTTTCCCAGGTCTGTTTGACTTCTAAGCCACTTCGGCCCGCGCGGCTTCGAGAGCTATTGGGCCATTGGGTTAGCGAGCATTTCTGCTGGGGACAATAGTTTAGTGACCAAAGCTTTAGAGCCCTTGCCATTACTCGAAGGGGTGTGGGGTTTAGCAATTGTTTAGGAGGATTGCAGGAGCTACTGGAGGAATACGTTGTGGTGTATGTCAGTTATACGTTGTCTAAGTCAGATTTCAACTCATGCAAGCAAGCAAGCAAGCAAGCAAGCAAGCAAGCAAGCAAGTCAGTTAAGGTGACTTGGTAAATCTCAGCTTTTACTTAGCAGGTGAGCTAAGTAAATGGAGATGACAGATGTTCATGCACTGTTTAGGTAGTCACTTATGTAAGCATGGTATTTGTAGCAGCGGACTTAGGTAACTGGGGCGTATCTGACCTAGTTGTGGTTGCAATGAAATTGACAGAGTTTGTTCCAGAGCGGCTGCCTGGCAGGAGGGAAGCCGTTGTTTTTCGAATGTGCGACGTGCCGGGCTCAGAGCGCCGCGCTGGCTCGGTCGAGTATAGCGGGAGCATGTTTGATGCCTGGAAATCGTGCATTCTGAAGGCTCCGGCCTGGGGTAGGTGACAGAGTCAGGGGGCTTCGGACCGGCCACAGGTTAGGGGTCTATATAATACAACCGGCAAACCCAAGAGCAACTATGAGGCGGCTCCGGTCCCACCTGTTTGGTCTGCTTCTGAGCCAACGCGCCCTGAAAGATCAAATCCCCATCGGGCGCCCGTTGAATTCGTACAAAAACCCTACAGCGTCTGACAAGCCATAAGCGCGGGAGGAAATCATTGTGCCCAGGTGCGCTTGACCCACTCACGGCGCAGCAACTGGTTCTCTCTCATCCTTGCGGGTCTTCAGGGCTTGAAGCATTTGACTGACACGCGAAGCACGGGGAAGCTGCTCAGGCTGATGTACTTGAAGCAAACCGAGATTCCAACCAAACTCCTTCACCCTTCCTTGGTGCTCAACTGATGCCAACCTATTTTTGTCTAGCCTAGCTCCTAGGGTCCAGCACTTTCTCAGAGCCATGGCCTGGCAAAGCCCCCTATGTCCATAACATCGAAATTTCAAGAAAATCATTTGGGGGACTCCACCGTTATGAGAGATGACAAGTTGAACCCACCCCGAAAACGCTTTTCATGATGGAAGACTGGAGCTATGGGCAATGTAGACCAAAGGGCGGGTAGAATCTTGCACGCTCTGGATTCTGAGGGGCTAGAAATACTTGGCAGTCACACAAACGCATATCAACCAGCTGTGGCCGCGGGGCAAAGAGAGCATGATGGGTGCGTCATCAGCCATGCCATCGACCGAGAACTCATACCTTTCGGGTAGAATTTAGATGTCTTAGACGTCAGCGGCGCTCTGATGAAAAAGGGAAACAAGTCTTGGACTTATGCAGGTACATGGGTCGCCGAAATTTGATCCCTGCGCAGGAAGTTCGCGGAAGCTGCGCGAAATCTCCGTGGAAGAGCATTCCTAACCATGGGGCCTTCGTTCTTTTTGACCAACACAGTTGTGTGCATGGCATATCATATTGCGAAGGCTCTGGCTGCTAGGCCTGAGCAGGGTCGTACCCACTGTCATCCCGACCCCAAATATGAGCAGACAACTCTTGAAAATTACAGAATCCTTTTGCGGAAGCTACGACATGAAACCATGCGAAAACAGGTTGCGGAAGGGCATCGCGGAAGCACTTGCAAAGAACACGCGTACGTAGCAAAAACAATGTTTTGCTCCGCGGAAGGGTTGCGCAAACATTTCGTGGAAACATTTGCATGTGAACATTCGTGTTAGAATAAGAGCCATGGCTCGTTAGGGGGGGTCCTTGATAGACATCAACATCTAAGAAAATGTGAAAAAGGTATTGGTAAGGCCCCCGTCGCGTGACGAACATGTTTTGTCCTAAGTCCGGCTGTATTGCCTGATCTAGAGGTCGGGCTGAGAGGACGACACCCGCGATCATCAAAGTTACCTTTGTTGCTATGATAAATCCTTCTGACCCTGCTTTTGCCACTGACAAATTCAAATACTACGTTACGTTGCGAATCATACAGCTGTTCTTGTCTGCGTGCAAGACCAAAGCACGCTTCGACGGATAAGGATTGCATCTGCACATCCTTGGTGCGGAAAAATCCTTCCTCCCCGGTCTTCTCCCGCTCGCCACGGCTCCAAAATCCTGGCTGGGCAGCATATTGACTAGCTGGTGGTACTATTAACTATTTGTCTCGAATGAAGGACAAATGGGAACAACGTCCACTTATACACGTAACTTATGCATTTCATGTACCTGGCTTTCCTGCAGCATGCTATGTCCCGACGTGGGTCTCTAGTTTGGGAGTGTGTTGGGTTCCTGCAGGACGGAGGTTCCAAACTGCAACCACTTAGTTTAAACCCAAGCTGCCAAACTCCCAAAACCCCAACAGAAAAGTTTGTTGCGATCTGAATTTCTTCTCACTCCTCCTTTTGCCCTCTGCTTGAGGCCACACCCTGAGCTCGCATGTGCAGTCCACATCGAATTATGACCGCAGAGGGCCGGAATAATGTGCGTATCCAGTATCCAGTGCCCGAATCCTCTTGTGATCATTTCTGCATTTAGACCTTTCAGACACAGGTCCGTCACAGTGTCTACTTTCCTTTTAATCCTTTAATCACCGCCATATTTAATTCGAAAAGATAGTCAAGCCCTAATAACGGCGTATCCGGTGGGAAGTAGAGTGAAGTGGAAAGTGGAGTGAAAAGTGGAGTGGAGAGTGTGGTGGAGCGCGGAGTGGAGAAGGGAATGAGGAGTGGAGTCGAGATTGGAGTGGAGACTGGAGTGGAGAGTGGAGAGGGCAGTGGAGTGGAGAGTGGAATGGACAGTGTTGGGCGTTTAGTAAAAAATGGAGTCGAGAGTGGGGATTGGAGTGGAAAGTGGTCTGACGAGTGGAGTGGAAACTGGCGTGGAGATTCGAGAGGGGAGTGGAAAGTTGCTAGGAAGTGGCGTGAAAAGGGGGGGTGGAAAGTGAAATGGAAAGCGGAGTTCAGAGTGGAGTGCAGAGCGGAGTTGTTTTGGAGACCCCCTGTCGAGGTTTTGGGGACAGGTTCCATGAAAGGTTTTTGAAACTTAAAGACTGTAGGACCGGTTTTGGAGGCCGCTTGGAAAGGCTTTACGCGAGAGTTTAGGAAAGCCGAACATCAGTTTTGAAAATGCCGCCGTGCCGGCCGTGTTTAATCTACGTGAATTACATGTCAGGTGTCTGCATTCGGGTTCATGGCTCGTATCAGGTTTGGTGTAAGGTCTAGGGCGTTTAGCGTGAACGTCAATAGAACATCCCACTGTGCAAACTGCCTGCGTCGTCAGTCTAGGTGTTCCGAAGAGCTGGCCTGCCTTGTGAACCTGTGAAGCTGTGAACCCCAAACACTGAACACCTGCACGACAGATTATGTATCGGAGAAGGGCTTGGAACACAATTGGAGTACAAACAGAACATGGTGGTTACAAAAGACAGAACACACCAAGCTCTCTCTGGCCCTGTTCGCCCTGACCAGTCCTTGGACTTCCGACACGCGAACCATATCGCCCTTCTGCAGGGTGATTTCGGTCTGCGGCAGAGATTGCAGGGCTTATAGTCTTGATCTTTCCGAGTTACTCTGCTCATGAGGGGATATGAGCGGTTGTGGCGAGTCCACGCGCTGGACCTGCTTCAGCGAGGACCCAACAATGAGTAAGGACACGGAACCATATCTGACGGTTTGCCCCTTGATGTGGACTCGTTGAATCTGCCAAGTTCGTTTCTCGCAACGCCCGTCCCCAAAGCTACCTCAAGCCATGCGTGCCCCAAGCGAACATATAGACTATTAGCCCGAAATCCAAGTTTTCCACTCTTCCAACACCCAAAGCTTTGATGTTATGTATAGGTAGTATAGGGTGATTTGAAGGAGGAAGGGATCAGAATCAGGCTCATCAGCCTCCTTACTGACCCACAGGATGTCCAAACGGCCCCGATCGTGCCCTAATTGTACCCAAGTCTCCTCTGGTCAACGCACACTCCACTTTTTGATGCTTTTGGGGATTTATGTTGGCAAACAGGAATGATAGTCAGCTAACTCCGCCGAGCGGCATCAGATTGGGCTTGGTAATCCTTTTTTGCTCGGGCTTTTGTCGGCTCATCGATAAAGCGGCCATAGACTCTCACCGTCCTAGGCTCTGAGAGGTCCTGGTTGTATGCACATGGGATGACCTGCTGCAATAGCGTTTTCAAGGCGGTATCCGCAACTTCGCTGTAATTACTCTGATGACTTTCAGCCTCAGCATTTTAGAGTTGAGCATCTGGTCTTTTAGGCTCTGGAGGGTTTTGAGACACAAAGGTCAAGCTTCGTTTTGGGTTTAGGATCTCACAGGGTTGTCCGGAGCACTGGGATTTAGGACTGTGAGCTGGCTCTCTTGCTGGAAGCCGAGTGGACATTCCAGGCTTGAAGCAAGTTGGTTGCACAGGGTCAGGTCTGGAACGTGTACATGCCTTCCCGAACATCCGTTCGTCACACACTCGCTCCAAATGAGCTGATTGAAGAATTTCTGTGGTGATAGAATGGGGGCTTCGAACTAGATGGATGTGATTCATGAGAGGGATGCTCTTGTGAAATGTTGTTGCACCCCAGTACCTCCAAGCCCGTCATCCAGAAGCGCTTCAAGTTCCAATCAGGGATAGATTCGATATCATAAGCCAATAGACACTGGTGCAGGCTGTGGATTTTTTTTTGCACTTACATCTTTCACGAGTTCGGTTGAACCAGCTAAAACTCCCAAAGACCTATCCAGGATGTAGCGCTCCTTCTTGGGGAAGACTTCAAGCGTTTGGACTTTTAACTTTGCCAAGCTTCTGCCAGGCTGGTCCTTGGTTCTTCGAGGCATGAGGCCGACATTCAACCTATTTTAGCCCCATCAACAAACGTAGAGATGCTTTCAGTCTGACATGTAGCTGCACAAGAACTAACGGAGAACCTGGTGATGAGGCTCCATGAGCTACAGCTGAAAAGTGCAATGGCCTTTGGGTGGAGCCCCGCTTTGCTCTAGAGACATCGGCAGTCCAAGGTCGGTGCTCACAGGTTTGTGCAGAACGTGCAATCAAAAGGCATCTGGTTTTCAAGTTGGGTTTGGAGTTCATTCAGCTCACCGGATGGAGCTGACAATCCCTCAGGATCTCTTGGGTTCCAACGTTGCTGCTCTGAATCAGATGATGCCAGCCTACGCAGCCAGGATTCTGGAGATAGCTGTGCTAAAATCTGCCATCCCCACGCCCAGCAGCAAAGCGACAAAGCTCCCCAATCCCAAGCCGCAAATTCCGACTCCCAAGTAACCTCAAGCCCAATGGAAAACCAAATGTGCATAGACAAGGTTCGGAACACTTTCCGATATGGATTCCGCTCTTCGGGGCTAAAAAAAACTCTGATTGGCAAGAATTGCGTTCTTAGCATTTTGCCCTCTCATAGGATTCGCTCTCAGATATTGATGTCACTTGGAAAAAACGCTCGCGCAGTCTAAGTGGATTTCAGTTTGTTAGCCTTCCAGCACAGTTCGTCAGAGCAATCGCCCGTCACTTTGTTATTCCAAAGATTCGAGATGTATGCTGTAAATATTCTACACTGAATACGCCGCTAAGCCTTGTAATCCTCCACTAAACCGCATCAAATCATCCGCCCTGGACACCCCTCGTATGCCACATGATGCCTGCATTGTCCACAGCGACTGCATTCTATATATGATGGCCGCTTAGAATATCTGATTTGTGATTGAACGGGAAGCTGAACAAGAGCTGGCCTCATGATGGATCTCAGTAGGAGACATGGGTTGATACTTTTGGCCGCGTAGTACTGCAAGTAGGCTGTCGCTGAAGGTTTGGAGATGTCAAGGCATCATTGCCTTCAGTTGGGTGGTAGATCTTTCTTCCCCGGGTGGCTCTTCTTGCCTTGGGGTGGAGGGGGCCCATATCTTTATTGCTTGCCTATCGGGTTGGGGAAGCCAGTGGGCATGAAGCTCAGGCAGCATGTTCGGTCTTCCAGGAGTATACGGGGCAGATTGATAGCCCGTGCATTGGCTCCCTTCCAAAATCTTTGCAAATTTCAGGATTATTGCTCTTCTGATTTCGGCCAGGGTCCGTGCCGGGAATTTCCGCTTTTTTGCCGCCAATTTTTTTTGTATTCGTTGCCAATTTCCGCTCTCATGCTCCGCCGTGCTTTTGGAAATTTTGCTCTCTCCACCTGGGTTCTGCGAGGGGGGTTGCGGGGCATTCCAAGGGGGGGGATTCTTTGAGGTCTCTTGGGCTTGTAGGGAGGGTTCTCGGAAGGTCCCAGAAGAGTTGCAAAGGAGGGTGTTCAGGAATTCTTTCAAGGTGCGGGAAACTTTACGGCGCCTGCAAGAGGCTTCAAAGTGCCTGGGAAGTGCATTGCAAGCCTGTTGTCAACACGCCCACACAGTGTTCAGCAGGTGTCGCGAATTTCTGCGCCACCACATCCACTCCCCGCAAATTGGGCTGCGGCCAGCGTTTGACTCGTAGGCTGCAGGGAGATCCACCATATTCCACTATATGCCGAAGCAGACGTCTATAGTAGAACCCCAGTTTCCACATTTCGGAAAGGCGCGCCCCCTTGGTCACCATGCACCGTTTTGGAGAAGGCATGCAGTTCACTTAGCCACGGCCGAGCGCAGCCGAATGTTAAAATGTGTATCGATGATGGAACGGAGTATTGCATAACAATGACTTGCCCAGAAAACTGAATGAGCAGCAGCTTCTCTAAGGGTCTGGCCTCTTTCCTCATCTACGACCACAGGACCCAGTATATAGGATTTGTGATCCTTCAGAAAAATGCTCTCAAAAGTGGTGCCCACCTGGCAAAAAAAAAGCTCTCACTGCAACCCCCAAAAACTGTCTGAAATCAAGTCTGTTGTGGATTTCCGCTCTACAGACCTGGTATCGGTTTATCCGGCGCATAAACCATTTTCCCGCAAAAGGCTCTAATTTATGCGGAAAAAAAGGTTTTGCAGTAACCCTTCTCAAACGAAGCACCTTGCTACGTTCTGACTAGGAATTATGGAGCATATGATCTTTCATCAGGGAAGGGGTGTGTTTCGGATGAATTCCCCTTCTGTTCCTGATTAGCAGCCCCACTCTCCCAACGCCAAAAAAAAGAAGCTTTGGCCATAGCTCCTTAGTCTTAGCTGTGCCCGGCATAAACCTCACATACATGCTTGTCACAGATTCTCCTACCGACAAGAAAAGCACAACTCCGATGCTATTTCAGACCAGAGGCCGAAGGTGCGGACAAATGGTACAAGTTTGGACAGTTGAACGAAGTCCTGTAGTTCAAAGACTATAGGACGTCAGAAGCTCTGGTCAAGCGTCATCGGGATTCAGTGAGGAATCCACAATCCCTCATACTTGGCACTCTTGAAGAGTGAGGACATCTTGTTTGCGACTGATGATTTGCAATCTCTAAATACGTTTTGGGTTGCTCCTTCATGCCTTTTTTGGATCTGCTCTGAAGATGCAATAGGCATCAAGGCTAAGTAGGCTTCGAGCAGCTTGGTATTGTAGGCTTACTAGAACAGCTGAGGACGTACCCGGCGAGTGCCGATCTCAGTAGGTTTCTACCTTCTGGGACCCCGTTCGGTCTAGTGGAAGCTTCACAGTACCGAATCGGTATTCCTGTCTATGTATCAGAATGAAAGCTATGTGCGAATGTACGGGGCGTGGAGGGGAGCGTGGTTAGATCCGGTTATTCTGCGTTTGGATCTGTATTGGATAGAATTGCTGGAGAGAAGAGAACCTGCTGTTGCTTTGCGGGCTCGCGTTGCTGCAAGTTTTCGAGCAACAGAAGCGCCAAAGATGCGGTTGGCTTTTGTCTCTTCGGGAACTGTAAGTTAATCCTGTTGAGGGATTCTTGAGAGGATCGGACACATTGATATTCAAAAGTGATGTGACGTTGTTCTGCGGGCTATAGGAATTGGTAGGGCTACTTGACGTGTTTCTGATGCGTAACATAGTGTACCTAGATAGCATCACACTGTGAAAGACCAAATCCTACAACTTCCGCGCAGCAAGCTGAACAACAACATTACAACACCTGCGCCGCTCACTGCTCAAGTCGCACTTGAGTCACTTACTTCTCACGTCCCTGCTCCTGAACGGCCATCCAGAAGACTCCATCCGTCTTGGAAACCAAACCGCATGCCTTCAAGGGGCAGGAGAAGCATATTGGGGGTCTCTCCAAAAGAAAGCAGCTCGCCTGTCCCGTACTGTGCCTCGAGGCTTCTCACCCACAGAGCTTCTGCTTTGGACATGAACATGCACATGTAAAGCTGCATCAAAACACAAGGTCTCAAGGTTCAGAGCTCACCTGGTTCCTGGACCACCGTCACCAAGAATGATATTCATAATGACCCCCGATCCCAAGACGCCATCTTGTTGCTACGCAAACTTAATTAGCCTTCAGCCTCATCTGGGAGATCACCCTGCGATACCTGAGGAGGCCAAACCTCAGCGCCTGCAACCCTAAACTGGATCGGGACAAAATACAGAATCCTACTGTCGGGCAAGGGGGAAGGGGGTGTGCTCGCTCATTTCCGGAAACCCCCGAGTGACATGACATGAGTGGAGCCTCTTTCATCTCATCTGTCCACTTGTCCGATTTATCTCCCCAAGGCCCAGTCCACTCCTGGGCTCTGGCAGAATGCGAGGAGGAACTTTTCAAAATCCTGGGTCCTTTGTACTACCTGGGGCGTAGCGAGGGCATAGCTATGGCCCTGGCCTCCATAAACCCTTGATGTTGACCCAAGGCTCTATACAGGTCTGGAAGATTTAGAGATGAGACTCTGCTTGAGCAGACTTTGCTGAAGGTTCAGGGCTGGGTGCTGAAGGGTTGAGGCAGAGACTTCAGGGCTGCTATTTGGGATGGGAGATGCTTACGTGGCTGACAGATGCTCGCATGATACATGGTAGCTCCCAACTACTCTGCCCAGAGTACTTGTATTGTCTATGTTTTTCCTCCTGAAACGTCCGAGGTTGTCAGGTCTGCTTCAAATTCACATCTGAAGTTGCCCCTGACAAACAAAAAAAAACAGTTGGGTGCCAAGTTGGCTGTATCAAGGTGTAATCTGTACATCGTCCAGAGCTGTGTTGATCTACTTGAAGTTGCAAACTTGTGGAAAGAAACCACAAAAAACAGGCTAAGTACTCGGGCTCGTAGAGCGCTAAACAGCCGAGGAACGCCTGCGGCCCAAGGATTCCGGAAACAAAGGAGTTGATTTCCATGCGCCTGCAGGCACGCTGTGGACAGTCGCTTAAGTCTTCACATTACAGACTTTCCCATATCATCACAGTCTCCCTGTAATCTTCTTATTTTGCATTTGATTCTCCATTGATCTATCCCTAAACCATCTGATGTTTTTCCCTACAAATCCTGGTGTGCCCCTGTATACCCGCTCATTCTCGAGTAACCAGGCTAAAAGGTAAAGCCTCCTGACATGTTAATTACGCCACTGAGAGCCCATGCTCTAGATCTTAAGCCTTCAGAAAATCTTGCAAGTATGTTCCAAGACATTCTTTTGGGGGGTGCCAGCTTGTCTAAGTCAGACCCAATCGGAATAGACGATTTTATCCTGTCTGTTGCGCCTCGTTGCCAGCGTAAATGGAAAGGCTTCGAACTATTGCAAGAGCAACAGTCTAACTACCTAGAAACACCTCAACATGGGTGCATGCCTCTTCAAACGATTTCTCCTGCATGCCTCAGAAACAGATTTCCAGAAATACTATGCTCCCTTCCAGAAGTTTGACCCACTAACCAGCTAATTTGTCCAACTGGGCGCAGCAGGAACGATCCCTCCTCCCCATAGAATACTAACACTGAGCCTTGGGGCATCCGCTGGAACTAAATAATATTATGTTATAAAGCAGCGTATTTATCACTCTTCTAGCAGGGCCAGGGCCCCTCCACTACTCCGCCAGATGTTTGCACTCCAGTAAATATGCTACAAGGCCCCGCAGCTCAAAACTTTCGGAACGCCGATGTACTCCGGCAGCTCCTACTGGAAGGACATCAAAGAACATGCAGCCCATAAGTGTACAAAGCTTGATGACGGGGAGGCCGTGGCCTCAACGGTGCGAAGCAAGGAGTAGCAGTGGCCACCATGCAGGCCGTAAGGCAATCCAACCTCCTTGAGCTTTGCAAATTCATCTTTGAGATTAAAGGGTTTGCGGAAGCAGAATGAAACCCTTCTGGATTCAGAGCTCATTCTTTTGGGGGCATGTGGGCCATCGCTTCAAACTTTCGGAGTTGGCATGGCGAACAAGCTTCTGTGGGCTCATCATGTCAGCCATGAGCAATGGAATGTAGAGAATGTGCACATGAATCAGATGTTGGGGGGTCCCTGCAAGGTGGCATGCCTGCTCTGACAGCAAAGAGCAAACCCAGCCCACAACAGATGAATGCTTCCACCCATGGACTACCTCCTCGCTTAAAACGTGCTTAGCACTGAAGACGGATAAGACGGCTCCTATAGTCCTGCAGACTGAGGTGACAAGACTGAGGATTCAACCAAGAGTCTCCGCACTGACCTGCCTCACCACCGGGCCCCTGGGCGTACGGGCCTGGCAAAACGATATCCCTCACAGCTCTCGCCTGGGCTTGATGGCTGGGCTCCTGAACGACTGCTGAATCTCTTCGTCAAAGCAGTGAGCTCTGCGAGCGTGCTATCCTCATGGAACCAAGCTCTCAGCTAAGACTCTAAGAAGTGCCCTACACCCACGGTGCCCATACATGTTTCCTCATGTGCTAGCTGAGCTCAGACCGCGATGACCGTCATTACAACTGAATTTTGCAATGACTCTTTCCGAAATACGCTCGATCATGTTCGGAAAACCTCTACAGGTGGTAGCCAACAACGTATTCAGAAGGCTACTGTACACACAGGTCGTACTCCCCTTACGTTCCCTCTAATGCAAAATATGTACACCCAAACGCCTACCCAACCGCCTACTCAAATTCTTGAGACGGATGTCTGGGACCCTTTAAGCAATCGAAGTCCTGCAATAACACCGCAAACTACCTAAACGTTTGGGGTTTTTCTTCCTGGTAAAGAATCCTCGCAAGCTGCCTTTGCTGGGCTCCCGGAACATGGCCGTCGCTAGCTCACCGCCTCGGCTATCGTTGCAGGAGCTGCTGGAATTTTCGGGGCGGAGCTCTTGGAATTGGAATAGGGAGTTCTGATTTACTTTTTCAAGGCTGGAGGCTGGAGGTGCAGAGATGGTTGCAACCTCAAATGCATGTCCCTGATTGATCCTATGCAGGGCTATGTATCTGGCTTGTCAACCTGAGACCCTCTTGGACTCCGTGGCAGGCTCTGTCAGTAGCCAGATGGCAATTCTGGGTTTAACGTTTAACTCTTTTTGGAAATCTTCTTCCACCTAGCTGGGTGGAAGGTACAAGCTGCATGTAGTATATACTTGTCTTTAAAACCTGTCTGCCCGCACCACTTTAGCGGAAGATCTTGAATCAAAAGCCGCTTAAACACCAACTCCTGATCCGTCCGAAGCACTGGCTAGCGCTTGCTGCAACGTCTTGAAAAAAGTGTCCGGGTGATCGTACTCCTCATCACCAATGTCCTGAGATGGTGGGCGGAGGTCCAGTTCTGGGGATTCGAAAGCGACGTGAGTTTGGAGCAGTGGGGGCTTGCTGTGTACGATCTACAGGCTGCAGGTGTCGGGTGGCTGAGGACTTCTTCCCTCTCCTGAATGTGGGTGGTTGCTGGGCGATGTCACAGAGTATCAAAGCGTGTTCGAGTGTATGACGCAACGCGTCTCATGTCAGCCCAGGTGGTCATTATATTCAGTCCAAAGCAGCATCATGCTTCAGACCTTTCTCTGCAACGGATGTGCCGCTTGCCTTTTTGCTAGCGGCGGGTGCTTGGGCAATGGAGTCCGGGCACGGACTTTGTCTTTCCCAGGCTGCCAGGAAGATTGAACACGGTTGATAGCGCTTTGGCACAAAGCGTCTGAAACTACATTCGCCTGGGGCTACGTCGTTGACAGCGCCAGATGACAAGATGACATACCGGGCTCCATTAACATGTCGTAAACAAAGAACCTCCATACGGCACGAAATGAAACTGCCCCTTCTAGTCAGGAGGAGTCAGCCTTATCATGCGCGGAAGAGATTTGGCCTCTTTGCAGCGCTCGACACGTCACTCCGTATATAACGGGAAAAGGCCACCATGGCCAGCACTGGAATCATACAGCGTGGACAAAGCAGAGGTGCAAAGGCATGCAGGGTTATGAGCTTTATGAGCCTGATTATCTGCACAAGGGCGAGGAACAAAAGTTAGCATCAGCGTCGTAGTATAAGTAGCAGTAGTACCAATGGTAGTAGTAGCAGTAGTAACGGTATTCATACTAATGGTGGTAGTAGTAGTAGTAGTAGTAGTAGTAGTAATAGTAGTAGTAGTAGTAGCAGCAGAAGTAGCAGCAGTAGTATGAATGGTGGTAGTAATAAGAATAAGAGCATAGAAGTATGTGTTGCAAGCATAGTAGTAGTAGTAGTAGTAGAAGAAACAATGGTTACTGTACAGGTGGCTTTGAGAAACTGACCCCCCCCGCCCAAACAGAAAAAACAAAATAAACAGATGAGAAATACAAATTATGCTGCGGAATACAAAACAATCAAAGTATTTGAGTTCAAGAGAACTGCTGTTGAGTGTCGATTAATATTGACCTTCTGTAACAATACAAGAAAAACAAATAGCAATAAGAACTGCACCCATACAAGTATTAAAAGCACCCCTCACATGTCAAGGTTTTTAATTTTTCCTGCACATGCCTGCACGCATTTTCGAAAACACATGTTGCCCGGGGTCACCCCAATTTGCAGAACCTGCACGAACATCAGAGCATATTCTAGCTTAAGAAAATTTTGCACTGGCAAGTGAAAGAAACAATACGAATAAGAGAAATACTGGCCATACCATTACAAATACTCATCAAGGTATCAATGGTACTTCCAGCCTGATAATCGTACTAGTAACAAATTATCGTGCGACTCCGTTCCTTCCTTCTCTCATTCGGCTATCCTTCCTCTGGGGTAGTTGTTGTTTCTTTCTTTCTTTCGTTATAGTGCTTCATGTCATGCATGTAAGCTTATTCTTTTCTTCCTTGTCACTTGCTTTCTTTGTTTCTGTATCTCTTTCGCCTTTTTGCTGGCGAGGGATCGAACATACCTTACAAGCATCAAACAACTTCTGCTAGGTTCTCTTCCTTGCGTTGTCCTTTCTTTGTTCCCGTCTTTTCTTCTCTCCCCTCTTTGCCTTCGATGACCAAAAGTACTTGATAAGCATTAAAACATTCGGATCGGTATACTTCCTAGGAAACTGGTTGAAATCAGACATAAGTATTTCTTGTGCTTATAATTTCTTTTTAATGCTCTGCTTCAAACGTCACAAGACTTTGTTTTTACACAAACGACAGGAAGCCCAAAGCTCTGCAAGATCTGTCAGCCCAAGCATCATAGCGGCCGCTCAGACCACCGGTCCAGCAGAACGTAGCTTCTGTTCCATGGCCATAGCTGCACATCTCCTCTGTCGCCAAAGTTTGGACTTGCATGTCCCAAGAATGAGCCGTTGAAAGTTAATCAATGGATGTGAAGTGCTTAGGCTGAGAGCTGATCCTCGTGTGAAACAACCCTTTGTATTTGCATGGCCGTAACATTGAGGCAAGGCTGACCAGCAGGTTCACCACGAAAAAATAAGAAGCCAGCACCAATGCACTGCGAAACCAAGCGTGTACTATCTGAAGACAAGGCAGGCGGGCAGGACTCAATTTTTGCCGTCAATGTATCTTAGTGAACGTTGGGCTGGGCAGCAAACATGCCACCTACTCCCGTAGACAAACACCTCCTCCACTGCTGCTCAACCCAAGCACAGCATAGAAAAGCTGGTCTGAGGTATAGTACAGAAATCCAAGAAAGCATCAATGGACCCGTATTAGTCTTAGTAAGTGAGTAAGTTATTATGCTTCTTTCCCGGCCCCTCCTGCACCCATTGGATTCCCAAATTTCTGAACTTCACACAACAGCCCAAAACACAAAAGCTGATTTCGGCCAGACTCGAGGCATGTGTGGTATTTGAAGAACCTCATGCAGGTCGCGGACCATGCATTTCAGGCTGTAGGCTAATACATCACATTTGAGAGCGGCGCTTGTTTGTATCCTTTGGTTGAAGACTTGGGCTTCATAAAGGAGAATCTTCAAGCTTATCTGGTCAGAGAACTGCCAACGGCCATCAAGTAATTAAGGCCAGGAACGCTTTCTCCAGAATCGAAACCCACAGCTCTTTGCTATCCGTGCTGGATGCGAACCTTGGACTTGGAACAACTCAGCTGCAGAATGGGCAGCGTGGCATGTCCATACGGTTCTGTTGGGCTTATGCCAACGTTGCACCCTGTAGTTGTTCCTCTGGCTCTTGCCAGAGCTTTGCCATGCTTTAACCCTACTCCATCCTGCAGGAGGACAATAACATTTTTTGTGGCTGTAGAAAAATCCAATACCTCCGCAACGATCAAAAATGCCTCACCCTGACCCAGAGATCTTGCTTCGTTGCGGTTTGAATGCTTGACAGGCTGTCCATTCCACCAAGCAAAGCTGTGAGAAACTCTTGTTCAGAGAGCTCGAGCGAGAGAGAGAGAGAGAGAGAGAGAAAACAAAAAACGTTGATGACACTCGAATTTCAAACCTGAAGCTCGCTCTCTTGGGGCTCAAGTGGTAGGATAAGGTTCCAATGTGCTCTACGGCGGATATACAAAGCCAAATTTGTGCTTTGTAATTGAAGGCTGGTAGTTCAGGTCTCTCTATCGCTGCCCGAAGCCTAGGATCGCAAAGTTCACGGACGTAGCACTCTCGCAAAATCGTCCACCGGTAGCGCCACATGAAGTAGGTTTCAAGAGCCCTCCGTGTCCAACAGGTCAAAATATGGTTTCCGTAGCTTGAACACCCTTCTTGTTCTTGGCCGGGAGTCTGGAGGCGCGCCCCACTGCCCTTGCCCAGGACGTCGTCCACGATGACATAGGTGAAATGCGAATCCTCGAGTGGGCAGAATTTTGAGGATGCCTTGACAAGGTTTCTGCGCCCTGGGGTAGGAGCCCCTCAAGCCGAGCTACAACGTTCATTAGGATGCCATAGACGCCGATCTTCATGTCGTACGCGACAAAGGCCTACCAGTTCTGCCATGTCATCCCCAACCACCCCACTTTGAACGTACTAAGGGGCTGTGGTGTATTATGCATGGCTTGCGGTGCATGTCACATGGCCCCAGACGTGAAGCAACCTGCAATCTGCATTGTGCACAGTCCGCACAGTACTGCATATCCCAAAAAACCACCCGAAAAAGACTGAACCCATCTTCTGCGCTAATAGTGCGACCTTGTTGAGATATTTCTGATGCCCAGACGGCTGCCTAAAGCAACTGACCCAGGACCGCCTGGCGAAAGAAAGTCCTACGATTGGCAGCTAGGCTGCCAAATGCTCCGATCCTTAGCCATTCTCACATTACCCCTCCTAGGGCTCGGGCTACAGCTGTTTCGAGTTGAACGTCAGGGCTGAGAACGCTCATCTTTACAACATGTTGCTAGCATTTTTCGGAAATTTGCAGGCCGAGGGTTGCGATTGAGGGATGAGGATTTTGGCGTGCCTGCGATTCGACTGCGATCATTACAGAACACCTGCACTAGATAAGCATGTACGCAACTGTACTCCAGTCGACAGCTGCTCGCTCCTACGTATATCGCACCCGAGGCTCCATGCAACTCTGAGTCCTAGCAAGCACCCAAAAACTTTACAATAGCACTCCAAAAACAAAACCCTTCAGCTCACAATGCTCTACAGTGGAAGCTTGCAAGAATGGCCGGGCAGCAGGAAGCAGTCGGCAATGCGGCCTCAAAGACTTGGCACGACGGATTGGGGTCTTTCGTAAATCCGTATTTCTCGGAGTCGGGCTTTGCTGTTTGAAGCCCCGGAAATTGGGACGCCCCTTTGCCAAGCCTTACGAAAATCTGATAGTACCTGGTTATTAATAGGATTCGAAGAATTGGTGGTACGGCACTTGCCACGGGAATATGTACACATATTCCAGCCGTGCTGGCACAACATCAGAATAATAACTTCTGCTGCTGTTCCTAGTATTCACGTTGCGGTGCGATCGTCGTCCATCGTCCACGCCGTCTGTTTGCTTCCAGCAACAGCAGCAGATATTGCTGCTACTGTTGTTGGGGCATTTTGGCGCTAAAATCTCAAGGCGTCGGTTCATAAGGGCCGATGGCCGGCATCCTGCTTTCACGGGCTGCCACCAGTGAGCTGCGCAATCCAGCCTGCCATGTCCACTCACTACGAGAGGTCGTGTGCTGGATAGGGCGGCATCGATGATCAATGTCTGGCCGGCTGGCAACTTGTCGAAGAAGGCCTGCAATGACGCCACCAGGCCAAGTGCGGACTGGGCCTCCGTCGCAGAAAGGGCCGCGTCAAGCTTTGCACAACCATGCAGGAATCTAGCGGAAGCCAAGTATGCTGCAGGCGCGTGGACCGAGGAGGAAAGAAACCCAAACCCAGCCTGCGCGCAGCCCCGACGTGCCTGGCCTCACTGGGCCGCCGTGGGATGGATGCTTGTGATGCGGCCAAAGCAGCACCGCGCTATTTGGTCAAAGGTGACCAAGAGAGCAGCTTGCACTGTTGGAGGATTGAAGCGCGTGCTGTGAAGCATGCGTGCTTGGACATAGGCCGCATCACCAATGGCCGCGCCTAAAAATTCAAGGTTGCAAAGCGCCTTGCCTGAGCCATCAGGGCTTTGCGAGAGGGCGGGCAGAAAGATGCTTCTGAGGAACGCCTCGTCAATGGGGCCCAGGACAAGGCCTCACATGTGGTCAGGTTGAGCAAAGGCCTATTCCTGCAGCGCGCTGCTGAACCTCAGCCAGTGCTGCCGACACGGCTGCCATATCACCGGCAAGAATGCCATCATCGAGGAAGTGGAGCCAAAAAGAAGCGCTGGCATCTCACACACACAGGGTCATGAGGCATTTGCCTGCCAGTGATCGGAGAAGCTCTCCCACAGCAATTTGTCGGAGCCCTGCACTGTTCTTGGGCATGGCAACTAACCCCGCTCCTGCTGGCGAGTGCTGGCCTATGATGGTGCAGGCCTGGGCATTCTCTGCATTCGGCGGGCAAAGCCCTTCAGACAGAAGGGCGGCACAGGCCTTTCAAAGCCCTCCCGTCCAAGGCTGACAGCTACATCCCGCCGCTCAGAAGCAGATGGGGCAGAATACGAGTTGCTGCGACGTCTCGGCCAGGACCCGCAGCAAGAGCCGCTCTCCTTGAAGCCAGCCAGCGTTGCATGCGATCCCTCGTAAAAGCAGCAGCTGCTTTGGCATGGCGCTTCCCTCCCCCCGTCGGCGCACACAGCAAGGTTGCAGGCTGCAACCCTACAGTAGCTTGCACACGCAAATGGGTTCCCATCAGTGCATCATGTATGCTGTTGCGCATCATCCCACAGCAATGCGTCCTGAACCCTGGCGGAAAGCCTTGGCGGACGTCGTTGAAGGTTGCGCCATCCCTGACAAGCTCCCACTCGTCATACATCTCCTGCATCATGGGTTTAGAGGGTCATGGGGGGTCGCTGCTCTGGAATAGGGCTAGGGTTAGGACTTGGAGCTTTGCACTTATGGATGGAGGGTTCGGTCATGTGACGGCAGCTTGAAAGAGGGCATGCGGGGTAGCAGCCTCAGCTCCACGAATTAGGATTTTGGAGTTCGGTTTCAAGCTTCAAGGCGGTGGGCAGTTCAGGCTTTCAGCAATCAAGTACACTTTTCTAAGCTCAAACGTTGCTTGCCCTTGCCGGTTCTTCCATTGGGTGCCACAAGGCCGGCAAGCGACATCTGCAAAACCAAGCATGTTCCCACGTAGATATGCACCTAGATATGTCTCCCAAGAGCTCCCTTTCAGGTTCCACGCCAACAAGCGTACGCACAAACACAAGCACGGGCACAACAATAATGGCGGTGGAGCAATGGCAACGAGGTGGAAACACCAACTCCAACAACATTAACAATGGCTTTGCCCCTACCTTCGAAGATCTGCATTCACTACTATATGCTGTAATCCTTCTCTGCGAATGAGAGTTTGGCAGTATCAAAGGTATCCTAAGACCTCGAGAACATGCCTTGCCAGGCATTCTTCTTCCAATTATCAACATGTTGGAGCCAGACTGCTCGCATCAAATGCTGCACTTTCAGGGTGCAAAAAAAAGCTGGCAGCACAACCACTCCTCCAAATACACCATCTATCATGCTGTGCTGAAGAGATTGAGGGGTCCCAAAAAAGTGATTCCCAACATCCAGCGCTCCGTCGCATGTTGCCACGCCGAAGGCGCATGGGCATGGCAATTCCAGCCTGGGAAAGTGCAAAGATGGCTCTGATCATCCAGCAAACTGGAATTCCTAGACTTGGGAGTCGCGTGCACTTGACTTGCCAAGATTGCGGGCTGGAAGATAGTTTCCAACAATACGGCCCACAAGCTACAAGCATTCCTTGCGCATGCGTCCACCAAACAGGGACCTCAGCTGACCAACTGTCCAGATGACAAGACTGGGAGTCCCAACGACAGCTGCTTCTCCAGCGAAATGTTCTGTAGCACCGTAACAAAAACGGCTACATTAATCTTGGAAAAACATTATTCTCAGAGCTGAGGGCACGGAATAACAATTTCAAGTTTGGGGCTACAGCAACGAAGCCACCACCGACTACATAGCTACTGGTCCAAGCATTGCAGCACGCTGCGCCCAAATCCGTGGCTTGTGGGGACTCTGTTTCCTGGACACGGGCCTGGCTTCTCTTTGTCCACATACATCACGAAATTGCTGTCCTGCTCTGCAAGACTCTTTCTCCCCCGGTGCATGTTGGATATGCGAGATACTTGCGCGTTTAGGGATTTAGGGTTTGGGAAGGATGCATAGGTGAGCAAAACCTTCATGAAGAACATGTTGGCAGGCCATTGCTGTTCTGCTTATATCAAGGTCTCAAAACTCTAAGAGAAGCCCGAAGAAGCTTCGGGATTCAAAGCGGTTGGAAGTGTCTGCAGGAAAGCATGCACCCAATATCTTTGCCAAGTTGGGGGCGAAGAGCCCGGCTCCCGGACAGTTCTAACCAACACAGAATATTATGTCACCAGCATTCTTCTTTCTTCTCCGTCTTCTCCAGTGTTCTCTGCTCTCGAACCTCTTCCAGGGCCTGCTCTCATGACATCTCCCGGGCTGTTGGACCTCCCCTGAAGTGGGGACCCGCATCAGGACCTCACCTCACAACCTCCTCTCATGACTTGGCCTCCCTCCAGGACCTCCCCCTTCTCCGGTCTTGCACTCTCTTCTCAAGACCTGGCTGGCGATGCAAAGGTCCACAGGGACGACTGTTGCCAGGATTGCCACTCCGACCTGCCTCCTCCTTGTAACCGTTGGCACTGTGACATACGAGATTCCAAACGATGTGCCCGAATCCCCTTGATTGTGGGCACTTCTGAGACCTGACGATGATACCAGGCTCTAATCAGAAACATAGTGTGTGGCACGCAACTGTGATGAAAGCTCATGTCCGCGTCGCGGAGTCGCGGACACCAGAGAACCTTCCTTGTCATCTCCAATCCCGCTGCCCCCCGGCAGTCGCATGGAAACCCTTGCACGGGATTCGGCAAAGATCATAAGGAGTGCTGCTGCTCTCGAAAGCATTCTGTCTGGCGATTGTTGTTGCTGATTAGATTGTCATGCTCCATGTCGTTTCAATTTTCTTGAAGCTCGGCCAGGCAACTGTGGAAGCGAAATTCACCGCTTTAAGTGCTCCTGGTTGCGTGACATAAATGTCCGTTTGCAAGGGAACCCATACAAAGCTGGCTCAACCCGTTAGTTTTCAAGAAGGCCTGCGCTAAGTGAGCAACAACTCCAGAAGTACCTTGTGAACTCATGCTAATCTTGAATCATCATCATGCGCTCCGGGGCCCGAGCTTTATGGTCAATTGAAACGCATGTTTGCCACCACTGTTGCTTCTCCTCCAGGGGGTTCCACGAGTCATCCACGTACTTTTCTCCTCCGGGGAGCATGAGCAAATGCCCGAACTTCACTTAGACATGGTCTTCGCAACTCTGCAGCTCGAGATGCATTGCTGTATGTGGTTGTCATCGGGCTGTTAGGGCCCGACAGGCAAGCACCCCAAGTCCATGAGGAAATGTTGACGTCCATTCAGGACTTTTGAGGCTCGTTTGCTTCAAACCATGACAAACAGATGCCGAATGAAAGGCTTGTAACCTAGTAGCTCTCCACGAAATCTATGAATTCACGCTCGCACCCCAACACGATAACCAGAAGACTCCTCTTAAGGCGAGGGCGAGGGAGCTTTGAGAACCTAGCGCCGAGCGACTACTACTTGGAGCTCACTCCCTTTTGCCACTTGTAGCTACGCAGTCTCCTTGTGTTAGCGCCTGACGGTGCCCTCTGATCGCAGGTTCGGGATGAAGACTTTACGAGTACCCGATGTCGTACCCGGCCACTTCACTGCTAGATTTCGAGCTTCTGCACACAAACCCGCGGCAGCGTCCTGCACAAGCCTCGATAATTGCGTTCACCTGTGTCACTTGCGGGACCCATGGATACCCCTTCCGGAGCGGCATGTTCATGACTTGCAAAATGGTTTTGTGAATATGTAGTGTAATGCCTTTCGAAACAGCTTCCCAACCTCTTTTCGGCAGTTCTCGCGGGCCCGCTGCCAGGAGCACAGGGTGGACAGCACCTGGACATCAAAGATTGAGGCAAGGCCTACTATCCCATCATCATGAACAACCAGTTTGAACAAAGAAACTACCAGCCCCGCACTTCTGCGGGCACCGAAGCATACATTCTGGAATCCACGTGACGCCACGGGGCTACATCGAAACTTTCTCCGGGTGGAATCTGACTCACGACCATCGCTTCTTTTTTAGAGGAGTCATGCGACATGCAAACGCTCGCGGTGAACACGGAGCTTACGGATTGCCGTCAGGCCTGTGTTTGGATTGCATACTCCTTCAGCACCGGATACAATTCAGGTTGGTTGCAATTCTCCCTAGGCAGTTCTAACCAAAGGAAAATTTCGAAGGCTACCAATCAGAATTCTCATCTCCTGTTTAGATGCAATTTTTCTTGGCAGCTCTCATGTTTTGGGAGCCTTTGGCTGTGCGCTAAGATCAGGACATTTAGATAGTCGGCAAGAACGTAGCTTTCTGTTAAATTAGCATTAGCTCTGCTTTGTTCATACTGACCCCAAGAGTGGCCCGCCCTGGGAACTGAACGGCAAAAGTGTTGTTCCCGGCAGTCAACATCGCCTTGCCCCTCCAAGCAAAAATCTAGGAGAGAACGGCACTTTTTGGGAGAGGTTCAGCGAGTTATGAAGACTTCGGGAAGTCGGAGACGTCAGGCACGACCTCAGGGAGGAGGAGCCAACACTAAAGAGCAAGGGGCTACCTACTAACTATCCCCCTGAGCCCACTCCCTCTGATCTTGCAGTTTCCTTAGCTTCCAGGGCACTGGGGCATCTTCAGCTTGCGCTTTCACAGCCTGAGACATGGCTCGCGCCCCGAACTTTGCTTGTTGACCTACATCCAAAGTCCGTAATACGCAGAATGACTAAGCACAGGCAATACTTCCTCTTACTCCGTGATAAACAATAGATCCAGAGGCCTAAGCCTTCAAGACTAGATCTACAGTCGGCACAAAGTGGCAGAAATCTGATTCGAGTTGTTAAATGCATGTCCTTCCATGTCTGCATGTGTGCTATTTCGTATAAGCTTGTTGGGACAGTTGAGGTACTTCAAACCCACTGGAAATCTGACAAATAATGTGGGATGCTCTTGGTTTCCACTCTGAAGTGACTGCTTTTGCAGCAGATATTATTTGGGTCCCCATCACGAAGTCTTCCATTACATGTCCCTGAAGTAGATAATTTTCAGCATAAGTTTGGTCAGACAGAGGATTGTACATTCCTGACTTGGGGGAAACGCATTTCAGTGTTGGTAGGGGGAGCGGCGGTCAGCTAGCAAGTGCAGGAATCACTGTTCCATCGCCCTGCGCTTGGAAATGACCTGCCCCAATTTGGGATTTTGTCTCTTCGGGCTTTGATGTCTGATAGGCAGTTCAATGCACTGTGATGGTCCCGGCCCCGCAGCATCTTTGCTGCTAGATCAATGCCTGCCCCGATGCTCCTAGTTCTCATCGCACATGTCCAAAGCTTGATAGAGATACTACCCCGCAGAGCTACGCTTTCGGAGCCTCCACCAGCGCATCGCTGCCCATACCTTCCAGCACCTGCGCAGGGAAGGATGTGTAAAGCTGGTTACAGGCGCCAAGAACCCGCTGCTCCCCTTTTGAAAGCTGTGCTACCTATGGAAGCAGCCTGTGCAGGACCAGGCCTGAAACCACGAGACTCACACGATAGCCCCACACCCATCAGAGCCCATGTGTGAATTGATACAGAACAAGCCCAATACCAGGTTACAAAGCCCAGTGAAAGCCTCCACGACAAGTGTGGTTACTGCGTGCGCAGCTACTGTCCCGTATACCAC